AACTGTTGCATCTTCTAAAATTATCTTCTGCTTCTGCCTCTTCTGGCAACTCTCTCCCCCTCCTTTCTCTCTTGGTGAATTCTGCAAGCACACACACAGACGGACAGACTGTGACGGACAGACTCTGGCGCAGGCACCACCGACTGAATAGGCGAGGGCGAGAATAGGCGAGCGAAGGGAATAGCGGTGGTGATTTATTTGGGCAAGGCACAACACTCACTGCAACCAGTNGCGCAGGCACCACCGACTGAATAGGCGAGGGCGAGAATAGGCGAGCGAAGTGAATAGCGGTGGTGATTTATTTGGGCAAGGCACAACACTCACTGCAACCAGTGCTCTTTATATATCAATAGACGATGATGAGACATCACCACCACCACCACCACTACCACTGGAATCCACTGTTCAATCTGGCGCACGAAGAATCTGCTGCGTTCGATGTCTTCTCTCTCTTGGAAGTGGCTGCACTGGACGATCTCGTGCCTCTGTCTTGTCCACTAGCTTTGCCAACTGCAACCAAGATCTCTCTGTCTGTCTCAGGCACTTTTCTGTTGCGGGACGGAACGGGACACATCCTGTCGCCACTGCTGACAAGTGGCTATTTTTAAAGAGTACCCATCTCCAGCACCGAGACTGTCTACTGAGGAGCGAATTACCACTACTACCACCACCGCCACTGCCACCATTGTAGACTAGCCACACGCCGCACAGTGGCCATTTGGTTGCAGCACTTGGGCACGCTTCACTGTCTTCCCATCTTCCCCCACTGATGAACTGTGCTGAACTGGCTGCACAGATGCACTGCACTGTGGTGACCTCATGTCGCTGTTCATTGACACTACTCGCACAAGGAAGGTCAGACTCGGAAAAAAAAGAAAAATAAGAAGAAGTGAAAGTGTCTCGGAGAATAAATGAATGTCCTGATTTTGGTCGATTCTACTGGTTTTGCCTGGTTAGCAGTGGAGAGCACTGAGCAATTGACTGTATTTATAGAGAATCACAAATTGGCCAATCAATGGGCGCAGCAGAGGACCAGTCAGCAGAGAGCTGAATTGCTTGCTTCCTTCCTTGCATACATTCCACAAGTGTTCGCATGTGCTGCTGGCAGCCTAGGCAGCCTCTTCTGGTGGCTGACACCACCATCCTTCTCATCAGCCGCCAAGATGCCAAGAATGCGTATGTGAACATGAGCAGAGAATGGTGAGAATCTGTTTACACTTGCAAACGGCTCAAGTGACTTATTTTTAGGCAACTGCACATACACACACACTGACACTACCGGCACAGACACACTGCACAAACACACTTTAGCTGAGGGGCAATGAGGAATAGACACCAGCAGCAAATTGAATGGCCAAATGGTATATTCTTTGACGCTCAATTGATTTAATTTTAGCATTGTCAGTAGTTCACACAAAACACACCGGTCCAATGAGTAGACCAAACTGTTGGTTGCTGCCACCAATGTCGCGCACTCCAATGTCTAGCAGTGGCAGTCGCCGGGTGGACTGTGTACTGTAGGAGAAGATCGTTTTAGGGGTCTCTCCATCACTTACGACCAGTGTCTTCTGTGGATCAATGCAACCATCAAAGGTGACGCTGTACACTGCCGATCGGACACCGCTGACGGCCACCAGCTCCTGTTCGTCGTACGTCAGAAGCTTTACGGCCTTGTCGTGCGACTTTAGACCGGCGTCAAAGTAGGCAACTGAACCTCGGCACAGGTAGGTCAGGTTCTGAGTGGCGCTATTGCTTAAAAGTTGCAGAAAGGTCAGCTGGACGGGAGGAATTTGGTACTCGAACTGGAGAAACGCGAATTGTTGTCATTATTTTTGCACGTTCATTCGTTCATCATTGACACTCACCATTTTTCCACCACCAGCCAGCTCCGAGTACCAGGAGTGACCATTCCTGCTCAACGGACTATATGAGGCAAGTGGGAGGTTTGCCTTAGCAGCCTCTACACAGCTACCTCCAGTGTGTCGGTCACAAAAAACTCGAACTGCGTCGTACGTGGAGCCCTCATTCGGGTCGATGAAATAGTGGCCACTGGGCAGAGATGGATGGTCTTCAAAGAGAGTCGCACAGGTAAGGCCGGCCGACTGAGGACTGGAGCCGTTTGGCCGTCGATTGAGGGCGTTCCACTCTTCAATCATCAGCTCGTAGGCGTCCAGAATGAGACGTTCCTTTTCTTCGATAGGAGTTTCTTCTGAGGTGAGCAGTCTGATGGGTTCATCTGACAGCATTTGCTCTGGCGGAGATGATGACGGGCCCTAAAGAAAGTTTTATTTGTGTTTGATTAGTTTTAAATAAATAAGATCTTGAAACTGTTTGAACAAATAAACGACTGGAGGCACTAAAGCAGTCAACACACAAAAATCTGGCACAATCGAGTAACATTTGCTTTTTCACCATAATGCCTGTTCATGTTCATCTACCTCGTAGCAGATGTTATCAGCTGTTTTCCTTTATCTCTAACTTTCTGTGTAGTGAATTCTCTTAAAGATTTGTATGAGAAGCATAAGTTTTTATTTGATTTTCACGTTTCACTTTATCAACTTTTTAGTACTTCATCTCAATCACTAAACAATGACACCTTATCGACCCATTCCAGATCTTTGTCTAATATCCGTTTTTAAGATGATGACACCAAACGATCAACTGAAAGCTAGCAAGATGAGCCTTCGTTGTGCCACTCTGGTTAGAGTTGCCAATCGTCAAGTGAAAACACTTGTCATCTCAAGTCTTGAAGGATTTTACAATGAGGCACAAAATAAAATCCACTCCCTCTCACTTGCGTCTAAGCCCAGCATGAAGCAGTTGAAGAATGCTGGTGAGCTCTTTTCTGACTACCCGATGCCTACCACTCGACTCAACAAATGGAACTGTTTGCTGCTGTACTGCGATGAACTGCTCGACCCGTCAGCCATTCAGCAAATTGTCACTGTTTTCTCTGCGGTCACCGATTTAAAGTACGCCAAGTGCTGCCGCATCTCCTGCGAAAACCTGATTTCTTTGCTCAAGCATTCCCAGTGGGCTGATCAGCTGACCAAACTGGAAGTACATGGCTACGACTGGATTACATCGGCTGATTACACCTTGGCTTTTCGTCTCTTCACCACCATCAACGCCCTCTCTGCTCTTCAGTGCCTGGCCATTGTATGGTTTAGTGATCTGGAAATGATGCCAGACTGGTACATTCTCTCTCAGCTAAAGGTGGTTCTGCTGGACGCATGTGACGACGTTGTGCTGGTTTTTCTGCGCTCCCTTGAACTGTATGCAGCCAAGAACGTCGATCTACAGGTGCATTTTCTTTCAACTGTAAACACTCAAAGTTTGTTCGGTCTCAGTGAGCCCCTTCACGGTCGCATCATCCGTTGTGGCCATCATCTCGACTTTACTAGAGACAATGTGCCGCTTCTTTGTCAACTGTTCCCTTTGCTGACTTCACTGTCTGTCAGCATCCAGTTACCGCAGATTGAGCAACTTTTCATGGCCCTTTCAAAACTTCCTCAACTGGTTCATTTGGAGCTGTTTTTAAATTGGCTTGTGATAAAGGAAAATCAACCTGATGAGCAACAAAACCTGCAACTGTTCCCTAGTTCATTGGCTCAGTTGAATACTCTGCGGGCACTTGATTTGAATCTGACCATCACCTCTCATTCGCAGTTGCCGTTAAATTTTCAGCAGACAATGCCTCACTTGCAGGCACTTCATCTCAAGTTTTTTTACTGTGGCAGTTGTAAAATCAATCTCAAAGACTATTTTCAAGATATAGCCTCAACTTCATCGCTAGTTACAGCGAAATGTGTTTGCGACACACTTTCTAATCTGTTATATGTCAATTCTGAGCAAATCATACTGGGCAATGAAGAACCGTACACTACCCTAGAGCAACTGCTGTCTGCCAGTCAGTGTTCATCTTTTGTTTGATAATATCTTATCATTGACTATTAAACATTTTAGATTTTAAAAAAAAGTTAAAAAACTTTTCTTACCTTGGTGGCGCTGTTAGCAAGTAGGATGGCTAGTGTATGAGCGTCATATGCGTACGGTTCTCCCGGATAGCCTCTATCACCTGCCACGCCTACTGAGCCTGGTTTTCCTCTTCGTCCGTCATCACCACGCTCACCTTTGGCACCCTGTGGTGAAGGCAAATAAAGTTTTTGTTAAACAAACATCACAGTTCAGAAAAGTTCCGCAATAATTTTAACAAAAGTCAAACAGTCAAATCATTTCATTACCTTTTCACCTTTCTCGCCAGGTTTCCCGACTTTTCCAGCTGTTCCAGGACGACTTTCTCCTCTTGGCCCTTGACGCCCGGCAACACCTCTGCTTCCTCTAACGCCCTTTTCGCCGACGCTTAAAACAGAATATGGTTGTGTTAATAATTTTAAACTGTGCAATACTTTCGAATTGTAAAATATTGCACAGTTTGTTAAATAAATGCTTTACAGTGGGTCTCCAAGATACACACAGACCCCAAGATACACACACAATTTTTCCCTGAACAAAGCGCTGCAACATTTCTCNAGGCACAAATTTTGTAACGAACTTTGCGAATGAAAAAGCACTGCTCTGAGTTAGCACACTTTTTGTGTGTATCTTGGATTTCCACTGTATTTGTAAAGCAGACATACCTTCCAACTCGTCCACTTTCTCCACCAACGCCCTGAGGGCCTCTATGACCTCGGCTGCCCTTCTCTCCATCTTCTCCACGATCTCCCACACTTCCCTTTTCTGCTAAAGTGGTGTTCATATCTCCCCTAGAACCGAGAAAAATATTAAAATCATTTGTTTTTTTGTTTGTAAAAATTGCAAGAGTTTAGGCAAGTGAAGCACTTGAGCTTGCAATATTGTAATTGTTTACCTAGGGCCCTGACTTCCAGGAACGCCTCTAGGGCCATTTTCTCCAGGTTTCCCAATTTTTCCAATTTCGCCACGCACTCCACTACTTCCTCTAGGTCCAGGAAGGCCGTGAGCGCCATCACGCCCTTTTTCTATGTCTCCAGCTTCACCTGCAAAAATAAATGTTTAAAGTTAGTTCCCACAAAATGTGAACAAAAAACTCAAAAATGCTTCTGAAAAAATGATACTTTGTCACTTAGACTCAAACTTGGACAACTTTAATCAGAGAAGCTCACCTTTTCTTCCTCTGGCCCCAGTATCTCCATAATCTCCTTTTTCGCCCTGTGGGCCATCTTGAGCGTCATCTCCATCGCTCCCGTCTGGTCCAGGTAGGCCTGGTTCAATACTTGAAGGCCCATCTTCTCCTCTACTTCCAACGTCTCCATCATCGCCTCTGTCACCTTTTTTTCCAGTTGCTCCAGATTCTCCCTGTTTTAAAACGCAACATTAGAACATAAATTGATAATAAATGTTGTGTAGGCGAATTTAAATTGGTTTGATAATAATAAACAAATAAAATTAACTTACAGGTCTTCCGGTCAAACCCTGATCGCCTCTGCGGCCGGTGACGCCTCTATCTCCACTCTCACCTCTGTTGCCAACTTTTCCAACAGCACCTTCATCACCAGAAACGCCTTTCAGCCAGCCTGGTGCTTCAAATCGATAGATAAAGTGGCCAGCTTCACCGTCAAATCCAACTGGTCCAACTTCGCCAACGCTGCCTATTTTTAAAAAGGTTTTAGTATACAGAAAATGTACATGACACTCCATTTTACATGTTTAGTTTTGGCAATAACTAATTAATAGAAAGTGTCCAGCTGCAAATGTTAAAAAATTGCTTCATCTTACCTTTTTTTCCAGGACGCCCATTTTTTCCAACTTCTCCAACGCTACCTCTGACGCCTCCACGTCCTCTAGGGCCCATCCGACCACTAATTCCAGCTTCTCCGACGTCTCCACCTTTCAGACAAAGTTTTCATGTAAAAAATCTAACGTCAAACATTTTGTGCAGAAACCATGCTTTTTATTCAATTTTTTAAGTTCCTCATTTTTTGTTGCTCACTATTTTATGCATGATTGGTACAGTAAAAAAACTAATATTTTTTTGTTCAAACCAAGCAACTTTTACTATTTTGAATACTACTCACCGTCTCCAGCATCGCCGCGCCCTCCTTTGCTGCCTTTGGGACCTGCTCCGCCACTTTTTCCAGCTTCTCCTCTGCTTCCAGATTGACCAACGCCGCCCTGGACTCCTAAAATAAATAAAAACAATTTTCAAATACTTTTTGTTGATGTTTAAAATTCAGACAAAAACAATACCTTTTTTACCAACTTCACCTCTTAAACCTTTCTCTCCAACTTCACCTCCTTTTCCAATGCTACCTTTGTAGCCCAATGGACCTATTAGGAGTATTTTAAATACATTAGTAAAACGGAAAAAATTGCTGGTAAAGCTAGAACAATAAAGTAATCTTACCTCTAGGTCCACTTACACCTTTTTCTCCAACTTGGCCTCTGTCGCCTCTTTCCCCGCGGTTTCCGACGCCGCCTCTGGCACCTATTGTTAAACAATTTAATTTTGATTATGATCGATGTTTACAATTCAATCTACAACAAGAAACAAAAACCATATTTTGTTTTGTTTATGTTTTTTTCTGTTAGTTTTTTACTGAATTTAAATTAAACTTGTGTTTTTGATTATTACCTTTTTTTCCGGGGCGCCCTTGAATTCCTGTAGGTCCACTTTCTCCAGAAACGCCTTTTTCTCCGACTTTTCCTTCGATTCCAACTAAGAACAAAAAAAATATTTGTAAATATTTGTAAACTGGCTTGCAATAATTTATCTGCAAGCACTTCATACCTTCTCCGCGATCGCCGCGGTCTCCAACATCTCCTCTACGCCCAACGCCTCCAGCTACGCCTATATCACCATTCTCTCCCTAAAAAGTTAATGTTTAGATTGTAATTTAATCATAAAGTAAAGGTTAGAAAAATTGAAAAAACTTTTGCTGGCTTTAGTTTTAAAACATCTAAAAATCGGAACAAACACTCGGTTTGCTGATTGCACAAACCAAAACTTTTGGTTTGTTAATAATTCTTTACATTATTGCAAACTTTTGACGATCACTACTAATCAATTTTTTAAAATATTTTTAAAATTTTTACCTGAACTCCGCTTTGACCACGCTTTCCTTTATCTCCAAGCTCGCCTTTTTCACCTTTTTGTCCACTTTTTGAAGGTAAGCCAATTTCACCTATTAAGAAAATGATTTAGTAAAACGTTTAACAAAAAAAAATACACTACCTTTAGCTCCGACTGGACCCTGACGGCCAACTTTTCCTCTTTCCCCCTGACGCCCAGCTGGGCCTCTACTTCCTCTTACTCCAGGACTTCCAACTAGAGGTGGGGTAGGATTATTTTCTGCAGGAGTTCCATCTTCTCCGGGAAGGCCAACTGGCCCTTTTGGGCCTTGTGGACCTAAATAACGGTTCAATTTACTATTTTTAGAATGATTTCAACTTTAATACCAGTATGACTAAAGTGGCTTTTAGTTTAGTGCTCTAATTGTTTGATTTGTTTAAAAGCTTACCAGGAACTCCTCTAGGGCCTTGAGGCCCTCTTTCTCCGTCTACACCAACTCCTCCCACATCTCCAACACGCCCACTTAGACCCCTAGGCCCTCTATCTCCACCTGGGCCTATAACACCTTTTTCTCCATCTTTTCCGTCGCTTCCCTGTAATAAAGAAAGTACAACACAACTTAATAACGGCAAGTAATGACAAACAGTAATCAAGTCATGTGAGAAGAACATGATCTGAAAATAGATAACTTGTACTGTTTTGATCTAAACTCAATCTATTACAAAAAACAATAAAGGAATAAAAAACTTAAATTGCTTTAATACCTGACTTCCGACAACACCTTTGGGCCCGGGAAAGCCTCTGAGGCCTTTTTCACCAACTTCTGAAGGTGGAGGCGTTTTTCCGGGAGCTCCAACATCGCCCCTAGGGCCTTGAGGGCCACTAGGGCCCCGAACGCCACCTCGACCAGTCTTTCCAACGCCGCCTACTCCGCCAACGAGGCCATCGCTACCTTTTTGGCCAGACTCGCCTACATCACCACTTTTTCCGGCTTCACCTGTATAAAAATCAAAGTATCGGTTGATACAGTTTAAACTGAAAAAAGTGTCTTTAAGAGTCTGACCTCTATCTCCTTTCTGGCCATGCTCTCCTTTTGGAGGAACGCCTGCAGGACGACCACTAGGCCCTTGAGCGCCATCCTCTCCAGATTCGCCTCTAGCGCCCTCATCGCCACTTTTTCCAGCACTCCCACGCTCTCCCTTTCCTCCCCTGGCCCCAACCGGGCCCTGTAGTGACTTTCCAGGACTTCCACGCACTCCTTTGAGTCCAACAACGCCTACTGGTCCTTGTTCTCCTTCATCACCCTGTCAGAAAAAAATAATAGTTAGGAAACTGTAACAGCCAAGTTGTTAAAACTTAAACAACTTTTTACACTAAACTGGTGCATTACTCTATTTTGGTAGAATATTGGCAAGACGTATTGCAATAAAACTTGTAATTCAAATTAGCATTTTTTACACATCACAAATTTAAAACACTTGTTTAAAAAATTGAAGATTTTGTAACACTTACAGTAACACCTTTGGCGCCCACACGCCCAGTGCTTCCACCAACGCCTTTCTGGCCTCTTTCTCCAGGATAACCGGGACTTCCGCTACGCCCCTGATCTCCGACTATGCCCTATATAAAAAAGAGTTTAAGATTTTCAATTTACAAAAAAGTTCTTACCTTAGGGCCCACATCCCCATCTTTGCCGTCTTTTGCAGGCGCACCTGCACTCCCTCTGGCTCCACTTTCTCCAGTTTCTCCTCTCGGGCCTTGGAGCCCAATTTCACCTTTTTATGCAAATAACGAGAGTTAAATAACATTTCTAAATCGTTAAAATGAAGCATTTTACTTGTAATTCGGACTTTTATACATTAGGATGTTTAAAAAACTTAAAAACACATTTAGCATAACCGATCGATGCCAAGTTCAAATTACATTATGTTTTCTCATAATCTCTATTAGTTAAGTAAGTCAAAAACGCTAGTTTAGCTCTTAAACATTTACAGAAAATCAAACATTACAAGTAAATCATCTCGTTTTAAACTCTAATCAATTTATTACCTTTTTCTCCGTCTTTCCCAACACTTCCCCTGGCTCCATCTTCTCCAGGAATGCCCTGGCTGCCTCTAGGGCCCTGATTTCCAATTTCACCAAGTTCTCCTACAAAGTTACAAGTAATTACAAAAGTTATTTGTCTAACCAAACAACTCAAATGCAAAAAGTGCAAAATCAATAAGAATAAAAATTCTTGGGCATAAACTGAGTAAAAACTCAATCATTTGCTTAGAAAATCAGAATATCTTACAGAAAGATTCTTACCTTTATTTCCTTCAGCCCCAACTGGTCCTCTTGCGCCATCAACGCCTTTCTGGCCACGCGCGCCTAAATAGAAGTTAAAGTTTTGCGTCAAAAACTATGTAAATTTAAATATTGTATCAACAAGCAAATCTTTCAAAATGGCTAATCAACTAACTTTTCTAGCATCATTTGACATGCTAAAGAATGTAAAATTTAAAAAACCAAATTGTATACATCAATTTGATAGTAACAACGCCCACCTCTTGGTCCGACCATTCCAACAACGCCCTTTTCTCCGACACGGCCCTGGTCACCTCTATTGCCTCTTTCTCCCTTCTTTCCAGGTTCTGGAGTCTCCGCGTCAGCTCCAGGCAGACCACGATGGCCCTTGAGGCCTCTGAAAAGCAGATTTAAAATTTTATTTTAAAGATCTTGTGATTGTACTTGACTTACCTAAAACCAGTTTGGCCTCTTTCCCCAAAAATTCCAACATTTCCGGGTGGCCCTCTGGCACCTCTAGGGCCAACTTCTCCATCAGGGCCTAATTATAAAAACAAAAAAAGAATCTTTGAGATAAAACTACACAACAACTATGTAACTGATATCTATTGATTCTTTTAAAACGACCACTTAAAACTGATGTCTTTACTGCTACTATAAATGTTCCAGAATCACTCACCGACATCCCCGTCCTCGCCAACTTCTCCTCTAAAACCCTGATGGCCTCTTTCGCCAGGTGGGCCTTTATTTCCTCTGTAAAAAATAGTCAAAAAGGTTTGTAACAAAAGATGACAACAATTTGCTCATAAAGAACCACCAACCTGACGCCTTTGATCCCCTTGTTTCCGACAGGCCCAGGCCCACCTGATGAAAAGAGTAAACAGCTCGCATTAATAACCGCTTATGTAGTATTCATCCAAAAAACCCAAAACACTTACCTTGTTCCCCAGTTGGACCTCTGTCTCCTTCGGCGCCAACGTACAGCTTAAGATAGTGGTCCAGCGTTGGGCGTTTCTCCTTTCCAGTAAAGTTTTGATGCCACTTGACTAGATCGGGCAAGGCGCCGACTGGTCCCGGACCTGAGGGAAGGCCCGCCTCGCCAGTCTCTCCGACATCGCCCACCAGCCCTCTTGGTCCGAGCAGGAAGATTCGTGTCACTTTTGTTGAGCTAGTCGCACAGGAGGAGTTTGGCTCAATGGAGAGACAGTGCTGGGTGGCGCAGTTCTCCACTACGGTGCAGCGAATTTCTCCACTACTCGGCTCACACAGACAGCTAGTGCACTGGTCGAGCTGCCAAGTGTTTCCGCCGGCGTAGTGATGGCCATCGTAGTGGCAGGACACAGACGGTTCTTGAGGGGAGATAGACTTAAAGATCAGACTCTGGTCGATGGGCTGTTCAAAGAAGACACCGTCATCGTCATCACTGTCAGATGACTTTAAACTGAGCACCGAGTTTTGACTGCTGTTGAAAATAATGAGCAAGATGATGATCCACAGGAGATTAGAGAGGGAGGTTATTTTCCCGTCGTCAGACATCGTCAACAGCAAAGACGGTGATGTTCTGATCAGGCCGCTGTACAAAGTGAGACTAACAAGTGTGGGCAAGCAGCAGAAGTCAAGTCGAAGCACGGAAGTGTAAAATGGTGGAAAGTGTTTGCGAAAACAGATGGCCAATGGCGGGGAAAACTTTGCCCCAAAAAACAGGTGGTTTTCTCATCTCGCCCAAATACAAACATTTTAAAAAAATATCTTTATTTTGTTGTTGCGGCTTAGTTTGGAATTATTCATTAGCCTTTCTGTGAAGTCGTGTTGAAAAACTTTGCATGTGTGATGAAAACAATAATTGGGGATAATTAAAAGTTGGCTAAAAATTGAAGGTAGTGAATTTAAAAAACAACCAAAGAAATGAGTATTGTTGAATAAGTGTGAAAGAATGCGTTTAAAAATGTAGTACGGGCGGTTTGAGAATCTGTCGCCAACCATTCCGACAGTTAGAAATGCCCTTACCTCATTTGAGGTTTTTCTGCTTCAGTTGTTCCGGGTGATACTTTGAAATATGAAGACGGTATCCACTGGAACTCTTGTACTGCTTTCCACAGCCCTTGCAAGTGTACGGGTGCACATTCAAATGCACGCTTAGCATGTGACGTTTCAACGAAGAAGCTCGGTTAGAGGCATAAAAACAAGTTGGATGTGAGCAACTGTGAATGATCTTTGAGGTTTTCAAATCTGGATGGAAGGCTTTCAAGTGAACATACAACTCCAGTTTGTTTTCAAAGATATGCGGACAGTTGGCCACCTTGCACTTTTCCACAGAGATGAACAACGAACCTTTGGCAACAGCCTTCTTGGGTCGTCGCTTCTTAGTTGGCTTTTCACTGCCAACCGAAACACCTGCTGCTGGCACTGACGACTGTAGTGGCTGAAATACATCCTCCTCCATCTTGATTGCCAATGGAGACTGTGGCTCTATCTCCATACTAGACGCTTCCTCTTGTTTGACAATAAAGATTGGTGACGACGAGAATGAAAGCTTTGAAAATGGCGGTGTCAGGAAGGTGTGATCAACGCCCGGGCTCACCATCATAAGCTCCTCTTCTTCGGCAGCGNACAATAAAGATTGGTGACGACGAGAATGAAAGCTTTGAAAATGGCGGTGTAAGGAAGGTGTGATCAACGCCAGGGCTCACCATCATAAGCTCCTCTTCTTCGGCAGCGAAACGGGGCACGCTTTTGTGAGCGACGTACAGCTGCTTCTCCTGCTGCTGCTGCTGCTGCTGCTGCTGCTGCTGCTGCTGGGGAACCACTTGATAATCATCTAATAGGTTAGCAGACAGAGAAAAAGAATCCATATTTAGAGCCGAATCAAAATCGAAAAAGCCAGAATCCATCATTTTTAAGACTGCAGATCGTAAAGAAACAAAAAGCACGACGAATGAGAAAATGCAAATGGCTGAAGCGTGATTTTTAGCAGCAGTACTGCAGTGCACAATGTGCGCTATTTTCATTCACACCCCGTGCTGAACATCCGCCCACTAGGGTCGTTTTTGCCTTGTCCTCATTTCAAAAATCTGAACGTTAAATGGTTTTTACAGTAAAAGTAATTTGTAACTGATATAAACCTGAATCAGGATTCAGAGACTAAAGCCGATTTGTTGGATTTTTTAGACTTTTTAGACTTGTTGGACTTGTCTATCTTGGGGGCAGCACTAGACTTGCCGCTTTTACCACGCGATGACAAGTCTTTTGCCTTGCTCTGAGGAGTCGTCTTCTTGCTTTCTCCAGTCGTTTTCTTCTTCTGGTCATTGGTCTCCTTCTTTTCGTTCTTTTCACTCTTTTCAATTTTCCTGAACCCTTTGTCGCCATCAACCTTCTTCACAGCCGTCCTCACTGCTGGCCTTTTGATGCAAACAACGTAGACAACAATTCCACTGGAGCAACCGAGAACCGCTACCACGATGGGCACCACTATGAGGATAAGCAAGCTTTCTGAACTTTCTATCCAGTTGGTGCAAGCTAAAATGGAAATGGTGAGTTGTTGTCAGTTGAAGTTTCCTAGTTTACTTACGGGGAAATATATCTGAATAATCCGGAGGCCTTGGAACCGGGCTCCAGGCTATATCCCTTTTCACCTTCATGTACGGATATGGCTTTCCGTCGCCGATGGGGTACCGTGGAAAGTAGTAAATGTTGTTCTTGCTGTCAAACAGGTAAAAGGCACCCAGATGAGAGCCGCCGGAGATTATCTTAGGCGGGGGAGGGTCTTTGCAGTCCTTTGAAATGGTCATGTTCTCCCGGGACATGCACATTTTGCCCAGGAACTCTGTGTTGCACACGGTGGACTCATTGAGACTCACTTCATCAAACTTCATTCTTGAGAATCTGCCATTCTCCTTCTCGAGGATGTAGTAACTGTTAGGCTCGTATGAAGCAAAATGAAGGCTCCCCTCTCGATAGCAGTTCTTGACATCGTAGCCAGC